AGGGTTTCATATGACGTCGGTCCACCCTTTGCATCTATAACAGCTTCAACTCTTATGGGAAGGCTTTCCACCAGGTTTAGGAGTGTGTTTATGGAAATATTTGACCATTCTTCCAGAAGCGGCAACTGAAGTTGGATGAAGAGACTGGCTCTCAGGCTGTGCTCCTAATTCATCCCAAGGGTGTTCTATTGGTTTGAGGTCAGGACTCTGTGCAGGCCAGTCAAGTTCATCCACACCAAACTCTGTCATCCATGTCTTTATGGACCTTGCTTTGTGCACTGGTGCACGGTCATGTTGGAACATGAAGGGGCCATTCCCAAACTGTTTTCAAAGTTGGGAGTATGGAATTGTCCAAAATCTCTTGGTTAAATTACCTCACAAATGCGCTTCTGGAAGAATGGTCAAACATTCCCATAAACACACTCCTAAACCTTGTGGAACGCTCTGCTTATTTATATAACAAATAATTCACTCATGAGAAGGAACGACAGATGTCCCGTAATGTAGTGGAGTAAAAGTAAGATATTTTACTTTGAAATGTAGTGGAGTAAAAGTAAAAAGTCCCCCAAAATGGAAATACTTAAGTAAAGTACAGATACTTCACTGTGTGTAAGTAATACTGAGTAACTATACTGGGTTAATATTTTTGGGGTGAACTAAATAGAGTATGTCACTATAAAACAGGGCGATAATCCTTTGCACTATGGGCTGCTTAAAAAAAATTGCAAAACTAAGAGTATACCCACTTCTCCAGGGACCACTACACCACTGCTTACATGTGTTATAATAAGACCATTTAAGCTATTTTAAGTAATTATGAAATGCTGGCTAAGATTTGGCCCAACTCTCATCCCTAATTTTTTTTCCAATGAGCTAACCCTACGATAATATCAGTTTGAGGAACAAATGTCTTATTGAGCGATAAAGGAACAGTTGTGTGAAAATGTTTTCCCATACCGAGCACAAAGCCGAACTGGATGGCCTTTTCTTTGACATGGGCGTCAGACTCTGCGATGTAGGAGCAGCGGCGGCTGAAGGAGTTTGCCAGAACCGAGGCCACTTTCACACCGTGGTCCATTAGCGCTTGAAAGCAGTGGTGCAGGAGGTGTCTGCAGTGGGTAGGACAAAGAGATGAAACATGTCAGCGAAAGGTATAACTCTAAAAAGGTAATGGTTTTACATATAAGCCTTTACTAATAACAAAAACTCAGTAGTTTAAATGTCACAACACCTTGCTAATCAGTGAATAACATAGCTTCTACTATCATTTCTCATTAAGCCCATCAATCAAGGGTAAAAGCAACAACACACAAATAACATTGTAGAAAGAACATCAATAACGTACCTTCACCTAAGGAGTTTCATTTTACCAAGCAGAGGGTTAGAAGCATTCGCCTAATTTTCAAATAGTTTTCCTAAGGTGAAGTTTAAATGGCAATAGATGCTGATAAGGAACTTAAAAGGGTATGCAGTACATGTTTGGCTTAATTATTTATACAAAACATATTTGGTGGCGGTGATTTAACTAAATAAATACATCAGGCTAAGAATATTCAACCATATTCACTATTAAATAATGCAGTTTTCAGCACATACAGCATAAACCGCTCTGATGAACAACTGTGGAAGGGACCAGTCTTCAAGCGTTTTTAAGATAACTGATGGGTCTATGTTTCAACTTTTTTGGCACCTCTTACTTAGTCCCATGATTTCTCACCTTTTGTCTGAAGCTCGCAGAACTTTAGCAAACACCTCCAGCTCACAGAACTCTCCTCCCAGCTGGCAGAGCCGGCCCTGCTGGTAAAGCTGAAAGACACAGACATACAGATTGAGGAATAAGGTGGTTCACTCACTGACAAAAGTTCAGATGTCAACTCTTCCATTAGCTGCAAAATGATGAGTCTAAAGTTAATAACTGTTTGGAATACTAATGTACAGAAAAACTGAGAGATCTGTAACTACAATGTTGAAGTTTCCGTCTAACTTTTCACTCTAAGCATATTTGATGCAGCCTGTATGATAGTTACGGAAACTAAATGGGTGGACAGAGTTGCTCCGCTGCTTGGTTGGCATCCGAGGTAGTCACAGATATGAGCCAATGTCTGATTATAAGGAAAAGCCAGAACAGCTGGGTACACGCAAACACACAATATTGGTTGTGTTAAAAAGCAAAGTCTTCTTATGTGTGACCAGCAGTGTGATGGCATCTCTGTATCAAAGTTCTCTGGTCTCTATTACGGGTGTATTTTAGGGGATGCTTTAGAAAATGCTCTCTGCTGATCAGGAGTTTAAACAAAAAAATTAATGATGTCTATCCTGTCATCCCAATGCACTGATGCACATGTTGAATCTGCAGTGGAGCCCACCAGTGAGTGGAATGACTCTGTTTGGCTGTTCAACTTCAGGGAATCAGTGCATGAGAAGAGTAACAGAAAACAAGAAAACAACTGAAGTCAAGAGGGCCAACATATGGGCTTTTTCAAATGTTTGTCTTCATCTCGTCTGATCATTCCAATACTTGGACATTTAGGGTGTGTCTGTGCGTTAAACAAGGAACACATGTCAAACAGGACTAGACAGAGTGCTAGATTTGAAGGGATGACAGAAAGCGACTGTTTAGAAATGGTGAGTGTCTGAGCAAGAGAAAGGGAGTTTGTGAAAGAGGGAGTAGTATAAACAAAACTTAACTAGCAGTGTCAACTACAGTCTACATATGGTGACAGAACTATCACACAAATGGGTCAAATGTAGGTCAGACAGAAACACTTGCAAAACAGCTGCAATGTTGTTTAAAACATTGTGTTGTCTCCAAGTAAACCAGAGGTTTCACAGTAAAAAGTACATTCTTTAAATAGTGCATGTTTATATAGCCTTTATAAAAATGTCCCCCTGTAGATGTCTAATACATTTTCTATTTGATGACTTTGTGTACATATTTTAACTTTATGACTTTCAGAATCCATCAAAAGTATAACCTTGAAGTGAAGGTGAGGGTTATTCCACAGTGACATCCTGTCTTGTGAATGGGATGTTTTCATGCCTGCCCATCAATAAACCTACACTCTTGCAGATAAATACTAAGTGGTTTGTAAAATGTCTACTGAACTTTACCTTGCTAATTTCTTTTTGACGTTTTATATATTGGGTTCCATCAGTTAATAATGGATACATCACTAAATAACCAGGAAATATTCTATTTTTCAGTTTTGTTAATAGGTGTGGAGAGGAGGAAAATGTGATACTACCCTTCAGCTGTCTGAAAGACTTGATTCAGTCAGCTGTCAAAATATCCTTTTTTTTCCATTTTGTTGCTGCTGCCAAAATCTTTTTTTGTTTGTTAATGGTGCCATCACATGACAGTGCCAATGGCATTAGTTCATAAACAGTTTGATGTCAGCACTCAATTCTGTATCAACAATTAACAGAGGTGGAAGAAGTACTCATATTTTACTATTACTATACTTAGTTTACCAAAAGTAAAAGCCAGCAATATGCAGAATGGCACATTCAGAAAAATATATATTATGTTTTGATTATAATTATCGATGCATTAAAGTGCTATCAAAGCTGGTAAAGGTGCAGCTACATTTAATGACTGTGTATACTGCAGGGTAGCTTGTGAATTTATTCCAGGTGTAACTCAAATCAAATGTAATTGATGATTATATTTGACATCATTAATCCAAATCTGCAACATAACCAAAAGGTATTAGATTAATGTTGTGGAGTAAAAGTACACGATAAACCTCTGAATTTTAGTGGGGAAGAAGTACAAAGTAGCAAAACATTCATAAGTCCCTCACAATTGTACTTAAGTACAGTCCTTGAATAGACCTACTTAAAATACACGTGTTGGTGTCTGGTTAAGGCCCTGAATATGATAAATGTCGTTTTTATATCCTCAATTTCAATGTGACATTTAATTAAATGTCGTAGGGGCCAAAATCATGGTTTTGTTGCTGTTTAGAGGTTGTTGTCTGTGGCAAATTAATATCTGACCTGAACCGACTGAGATATATTGTAACAACTGACACTGTGTTTTTTAGTAGATTATTTATGGTTTTGTTGTGGTCCACATTCATTTTTAACCAACTTTTACCTTTTTTTTATGTACATGACAACATTGCCACAATTCATGTATGGTTACAGAATGGCTCGCTGGTGTCATAAACTAGCTACAGGATCGATGGCGTTCATGGCTTCATTGTCAACAACGTTTATCATACAGATATTCATACGAGATATACTGTATTTTTGGACATTGTAAGGCTGAGTAAGCTAACGGTTAACATTAGTTCGCCTAACCAACAAAAACATATTGTCCCTTCTGCAGAAACTAGGGTAACTATATCGTAATGTAACGTAAGCTAACGTAAGTAGCAATGGTAGCTGCTGGTTACACAAACTCGTACAGCCTGTACGAGTGTGGGGTGTCATGTGCCTAAGCCTCTTTGTAAATCTTAACGTACCTTATAATATACATCGAACTGTATATTTTCTGGGAGCGACCGTATGTCCCTTCTTGACCGGCTGTAGTTGTCCACCACAGCCGAGATAGCCGTGTTGTACAGTGTTTCTGGGATCCATTCGAGCTCCACCGCAGCCATGTTGTTTTCCCTCTCCAAAAAAAACCAGCAGCTACAGCCCTCCCCAGCTCTCCCTACATTCGCTACCTCACTGCGATTAAAGCACTTTCTCCAAGGGTCCTCATATAACATTCACTTTAAAGCGAGGCTACAAATAATTGTTCTATTATCAATTTACCGCTACAATTCTAAAACGGCTGGTTTATTTTCCATCTTCTTCATCTCCAATTTTTCGTCGACCCTACAGCAATTCCGTGCGTTCCGTGCCCCCCCGTCCCGACGCACACTCACCGGCGTTGACGCAGTGACGTAATTGTGCAGTCGATGCAAAGAAAGCATATTTGCACAATTTAGTAATTTGGAGATGGAAGAAGTACTCAGTATTAAGTAAAAAATATTATCATAAAAATATACTCTTAAGTACAAAAAGGAAAAGCATTGATCATGCAGTATGGCCCATTTCAGACTCATACATGATATTGTTGTATTGTAATTATTGATGCATAACTGTGTTAATCACTTTAATGTTGCTCTTGGTAAAGCTGGGGTTTATTTATATTACTTACTTTATATTCTTCAAGGTATCTTAATAATGAATTAGTGGATTTATACTTTGTAGTCGGAGTTTGACATTTGCACTTGGGGGGAAAAAACGTTTTTACTGACGTCAGTACACAGTCCCAACTATTGCGTGGGGTGCTAAGGATACAGTAGCAATAAAGCCAGCGTACCCCGGACTGAGTATGACTTTTCCACATACGAACACAACTCGTCCCGTCATGCACGCCTCATGCCCGCCGTACGTACACACACACACACACACACACACACACACACACACACACACACACACACACACATAGGGAGGGGCGGTCTCTCCCCCGAACAACAGTGCATTACATAACTGTAAAACTTATCATAAATCACAAACGACCTCCTCCTCTCCTCTGACTCCGGCAACATGAACACCCTCATCCTCCTCGACCTCACCGCAGCATTCGACACCATCAACCACACCATCCTGCTGTCCCTCCTCGAATCATCACTCAACATCACTGACACTGCACTCTCCTGGCTGAAATCCTACCTCACCGACAGACATCAGTTTATCAACATCAA